GTGTGTGTGTACGTGCTAGTCCATAGGCTTGACTTCAAGGCCTGAGTACTGTCCCTGAGCTTTTTCCCTTACAACTGATGCCCTACCACTTGAGCCACAGCTCTGCTTCCATCTTGCTGGTGGTTAATTAGAGATAAGAATTTCATGGACTTCCCTGCCTGGGCTGGCTTTTAATTACAATCCTGAGATCTCAGCCTCCTGAGTAGCTAGGGTTATAGGTTGAGCCACCAGCACATGGCTTCTATTACCTTTCTGATGTGAGACAGCTTTTCAGTTTTTTACTTGTATCAAGAAGATACAAGTGTCCCTTTATAGGATTCATTAGATTAGTAAATGAAATAAAATACTCGTGTTCAATTTAATTTCAGACACATACCAAGAGCCCAATAATTGGTAGCAGTTGCCATTGGTAGTGTAATATATTAACATTCTTTTCTGTCTTTCCTTCTCTTTCCTCCCCTCTTTCCTCCCTCTCTCCCTCCCTCTCTGTCTTTATGTCTGAAGTAGTTATCACACAGTAGACTTAAAACTAATATTTGTGATCATTTCAATGGTACATTCTTCTCCGCACATCATTTGAGATTGTCAGACTAAAGCCATCTGCCTTGAATTAGTGTGTAACTGCACAGTTTCTATCACTGATTAGTTATGAAAGCCAGGCATGTAAGATATGTAAGATAACTTGCTCCAGTTCCCATGTTATTTCTAACTTTTTCACCCCTGTGAAAGAGCAAGGCAAGAAATGAACTTAGTAAACTTCTCAATATGCAGTGCAGAAGATATAAACTATTTCCATTTGAGAATTATCATGTTTACATATCAGAATCTTCAAGTTTATTCTAAAAATTGTATTCCAATTCAACAGTGCCTTTAAAACCACTCAGATTAGTTCCCCAGAATGGTAACCTTGGTTGATGGCTTTGGGGGATGTTGTTTAATAGACATTTTGCTAATAACCAATGAAATAAGTTTTCATCAGAAAGGCTCTGCTGGTTTTCATTAGATGCAGTGGATTGGTAGAGACTAACTTCTATTTTGTATTAAAATTCTGCGTTTTGTATATCAAGTAAGTGACCCTTCAGAAATAAACGTTGTGTTGTTCTGATAGGATACTCTATTCTTTCTCTAGAAATGAAATGCCATTTTCTAATGATGAATTGTAATTTTGTCTTTAGAGAGTTTTCATAATAAGCTTTTGGGGTCATATGAAAAATATGACACAAAGCTGTTCTGGGCATAATTCTGGCTGTGTATGGAAGCAGAGTTAGACATGGACAACCATAGTTGTATCCGTATTAGTGCTCTAGGAAACTCACAGGGTGGTGTAGACAGTGGAGTGATTCAGTGTGATAGACTCAGAATGTCACATGCCATTCAGATGGTCGAAGACAAAAATATTTGGTGAGCAATTAGTAAATACCAGAACAAAAAAAAAAAATCTCTCCTTTGTAATAAGTTGCCAACATTGTTTTTAAGACAGTTTATTAAGAAGCATTTCATCATTTCAAAAATGCATGTAAATAATGCATTAAATAATACATTCTTTTTTTTATTTGCCAGTTGTGGGGCTTGAACTCAGGGCCTAGGCACTGTCCCTGAGCTTATTTTGTTCAAGGCTAGTGCTCTACTACTTGAGCCACAGCGCCACTTCCAGCTTTTTCTGTTTATGTGGTACTGAGTAATCGAACCCAGGGCTTCATGCATGCTAGGCAAGCACTCTACCACTAAGCCACATTCCCAGCCCAATACATTCTTAAGAATGCATTTTAATGCCCTGTGCAAACGGGAAACAGAAAGTAAATGCCAGCCTACAGACAGTCCATGAGAGGTCTTGCATATCATTTATATTCTTGGAACCATTTCAAAGGTTTACTAGTGAGCTTGATGTTTATATGAAAGGATATTAAAAAATTATCTTTAAGTATTTGTACAAGGGGGTTTTCAATTCCATAAGTCAGACTCTGAGTCCAATGCATCTTTGTCAATGTCACCCTTTCCATCATCCCCCCCATCTTTCCTAATCCCATCCATACCCTTAAGTTAGGTGGTTCCATTTGTGAGAGGGTAGTAAAGGACTTTATGCATCGGGTCAAGTCTATTTTTATTCCCCTGTGTGTTACTTGAGAGTGTGGATTGAGGCACTGGCATCTCAGTCTCTCTGGGCTGTGGAACGCTGTGCCTCTGTGACCTGTGTGACCTACCCGATTGACGTATGCTTGTTTGATACGAAAGTTTTCACGCTGACCAGGCTTCTGCAGAGTGCTCTGGGTCAAGCTGCTGCTCCACACTGTGAATGGACTGGACAGTGATGACTTTGTGAAGATGCCCCTCCCCCTTCCAGTCCAGTCAGGACTGTCTGTCTCCATCCATGTTTGCCTCTGATATTTCCTGCACTGTCCACCACTCCCCCCACTTCTGCCAAGTCCCCCAAACAGAGATGACTATTGATGGGCCATGCATGCGCTCACACTTCCGAGAGGATTGCCATTTGACCTTGGCGTGACATGACATGAATGCTGCCATTGAAAATAGTTGAGAAGTCAGCAAAAAGTAGCCGTCTAGACAACTAGCGTCCAATGGGCTGGTCGAAAGAGAGCTGTCTTTGACAGACCGAAGAGTCATTGATAGAAAATGTTCGTGAGACATGTCTAGACTCCTCCAGACATTCTTGTGTGGTCATCCCAGGGTTAGACAATATCTACACATGTTTACAACCTCTGAAACACAGGATGGAATTTCAGATTGCATTCTAAAAGTTTAAACACTTCCCACAAGATAAAGTATTTATTAAATGGTTCACTCCATAGTCCCGGAGTCCACTTCAGATTGAAAATTTCTATCATTTAATTTCCTGTTTGTAACTAAACACTTGAACTTGTTTGTTCATTGCAGGGTGAAGAAACCAAAAGTCTAACGCTCATCCTACATCGGGATTCTGGCTCCCTGGGATTCAATATTATTGGTGGCCGGCCTTGTGTGGTATGTTCGTTGCTAAAACATGTTTTTCCTTTTTTCCCGGGTTGGTTAGACGATGCTGAGGACTGGAAGTCTTGCTTATTTCCCCTCACAGCTAGATGGGGAGACTGAGGAAAAAGGAAAGAGAGTTCTCTTTGGTGTAGTACTCAGTGCTGGGGTCCAGCCTTGAGGACTGTTGAATCTCAAAGGAGGAAGAGTTTTGGGGAGGGCCCAAAAGCAGAATTTTTGAACGATGATTAAAAGCTTTTTAGATCAGAAGACCTGTATTTTATGCATGTATATATTTATATATATATATATATATACACACACACATACATTCACTCAATATATATGTTTATAAATATGTATATTGAATTGGCTTAAGTAAAAATGAGCATATTTAGTTAGCTATAAAATAGTTATACTATCACATTGGTAAAGTGTGTTCCTTCTAAGAGTTACATGCAAAGGGGGAAAATTTTAAACAACGAAATTAAAATATGACTGACTAAAACTTTGGCTACATTGTTTCATTACTTCAGCACATTACGTTACATTTTTCTGGCCATTTTGGAAGATCATTGAACCAACAGATAATAGACGTACCCCAAAGGAAGAGATTTAGCAGAAAGTAAGAGGCCTGAAGCAGCAAGAGAGGTAGGGTGCTACAAGGGTAGAAAGTAATTTAGAGGTGGTAGACAAGTAGGGAGGAGATCAGAAAGAAGCTAAGAGAAGGACATGGGCCTGATTCCTAATTCCTGATTCCTAAAGGCCTAATCGGCCGTGGGTTGTGGGATTTGAATGAGCTCAACAGTGAGTAGACAAAACCTGGCTGCTCATAGGGAGTGATGTGAAGGAATTTATGATTGAATAATGTGCTTATCTTTTGGACAAAGCCACAGTTTCAAAACCAAACTAAGAAGTTTTACTATAAAAAAAGGATTACTTAGTTATAAGTGATAGTCATTAAAATGATGAACATTATTTATCTTGCACAACGTCTTAACCGATGAGAGTAGATGATAGATATGAAGGAGGAGAGTTGGTCTTTCCTCCTCTGTTGAACCCATGGGTTGAGCTCACAGTATGTCCCAGTACCTCTATGGAATTTGTAGAATACATATGGGTGGTATGTTTTGGTTACCTCAGGCTGTCTGTCCTCATGCTGTTTGGACCTAATTTTTGAAACCAGGGCTCCACCCACCCAGCTTTGCAGGGAGGGAGAAAGTTGGGATTCATTACATAAGCAGTTGACCCCAGAAACCAGCTGATCAGCACAGGATTTGGACTTGTGTTCTCCAACTTCTAGAAAACATCTTTGTTTCTTAGCACAGAGAGCAGTGTTAGTTTCTCTTTAACCTGTCTTTATAATTATCTTTCCTCTACCGACCTCTTGTTATCAGTTTTAAGAAACAACTTCAATAAACTAAGATCTACTTCATTTTAGTAGATGTTTTAAAAGCCAAAAGAACCCAACCTAGGAAGATGTCTTCTCTGTCTTAGGTCTAACCACATCAAAGACTAGTGTTTGCAAAATACAGGAGTGGAGAGGTGTGTCTGTGCTTGATATTGTTGAGAAACCTATTCTATCAATGCCAGTGAGCTGGCTGGATAGTTTTTCCACCTCACCGGGTGAAGTACCAAGCTCAGGCCCAGTCTTACTGGCAATTTATTTCTTGCTTGTGCATAAAAGAGCATATTTCTACTTCTTTCCTTTTTCCTTTAAAATAGAGATTTAAGTACAAGCCAGATCTGATTTTGTAGCATTGCTAAGTGCTCTCTGTTGATGTGGTCATTTTGGAAAAAGTACATGCATATATCCTCCAGAGGAAAATTTAATTCCTCATGTATGTGGTTGCTCTGTGAGTGTGTGTGTGTGTGGTGTGTGTGTGTGTGTGTGTGTGAGAGAGAGAGAGAGAGAGAGCCTGCTCGTTCCAATGAGCAGAAATAGCATATGAAGATTTGAATGTATTCCACAATGTTACCTAGAAAATCTGGCAGGCCATTTTGTACATGGTAAGATGCCAAGATGAATGACAGTGCACAGACAGGCAGCCTGGTTAGAACTGGAAGTAGAATGTGGTACAAATGATGAGTATGTTGCCCAAGGAATTCCTGTTAGATGCTCAGCTGGCTTGTGAAATAGCCCAACCTGGGACTGTGACATAAGGTTTGTCAAGGCAAGGCAGTATAGAATGCTCTGAAATCACATCATTCATCTCTGCTAGTTCTCATCACCCTAAAGAAGGAGCTGCCAGTCTATGTATCACCTTTGGCAAGTGGACATGATTTTCAGGTACGCTGGGGATGAAAACAGTCCTTTTCATTTTTCTTTCACATAAGCCAACAACACAAATAAATCCCAAACCGTGTTAGTTCACCATGATAAATAGGTCTGACTTAGAATGTGTTAGGAAAAGAGCCAAACACACTATGAGATGAATGTGTTTGATCTGGTTTTCTTGGATTATCTTGCTTTCTCTGGTTATTTTGCATCCTATCCTTACTCCTTTCCATTGACTAAACCTAAATTCTGGTATATGGTTTTACTTGCTGCTCTCTGATTTTTCCTTGAACCTTCTAATGCTCTCTTAGAATAATTACTTCGATAGAGTATAGTATTTTGTAAAACAAGCCAAAGCCAAAATCCCATTCCCAATCTCTCTCATCCTCTCTAGCCAAGAAATACAAAGTAGCTAAGTCAAAAGAAACACAGATTTTTTTTAAAACCATATGACATATTGACGTTACCTGAAGAGAATTTGGGCTTGCTTATGAATCCATGGTGGTCTAGTTGGCTTCCAGACTTCTCTGTTAAAATATTGTGTAGGCTGAAATGTTGGACTTGTGTAGTAGTGTGTCTGGGGAGAGATTTTCTAGTGGGAAACAGTATTAGACACAGAATTGTGTGCAAAAAATTCTAGCTTTTGTGTAAAACCAAAATACAGTGGTTTTTCTGGGGGTGGGGTGGGGTTGCGGGCCTTGACCTCAGGGCCTGAGCACTGCCCCCGAGCTCTTTTGCTCAAGGTTAGCACTCTACCACTTTGGGCCACAACTCCACCTCCAGATTTTGAATGGTTAGTTGGAGAGAAGAGTCACATAGGGACTTTTCTGCCTGGGCTGGCTTTGAACAGCAGCCTTCAAATTTCAGCCTTCTGACTAGCTAGGATTACAGGTGTGAGCCACCAGTGCCAGGCGAATACAGTGAGCTTTTAGTTTGGTGAACTTGGGTAAGTCACTTAGTCTCTTTGGGACTCAGGTTTTCTGTCTGTGAGACGGATAACATTGCTTACTGTTTGTGCTTATTTTGGGAATTAAATAACATACATAGAACATTCACTGTGTTCTCAGTAAATAGAAATTACCTTTGAAATGTGGATGCAGGGAGGTGCCTCAGAATATGGCTGCTGAGAGAGAGAACAGGAGACATGTAGATACTCAGCTGCTGTGGGCTGAGTGCTCAGCAGACCTGTGTAGAGCACGCCAATGCCTTTGAAGGCCAGTTGAGTGAGTAGAGCACCCGCAGCACTGCGTACCCTCTCTTGGAAGAGTGTTGATGGAATCCAGATGGCAGTTTGAGATGCCACATGGGGATAAATGTTGGGGAAAACACTTAATGCTCACTTCAGGTTGTGATTTTGGTTTGCTCTGGTGAATCATGTAACATTTGAAAGAGAGAGAGAAAAAAATCAAACAATGTGTGTGTGTGTGTGTGTGTGTGTGTGTGTGTGTGTGTGTGTGTGTTGCAAGGAAGAGAGGGAAAGGAAGGCCAAAGACCATATTTTCCCAATCTTAATAATTGCTATTGCATTTGAAGGGTTGGATGGAACACTTTCAAAATCTTTCTTGCTCTCTTTAGAATATAGGGAAGTTTGCTGTTTAAAAAGGAAAATGTTAGAGTTCCATAGTTTTTTGACAGTGATAATGTTATATGTTTATATGTAAAATAAGTATTGTTAAAATAGATTTTCATCTGTATTGGGTTCTCACACATTCACGTGAAATGTAATTCCCTCAAATCTTGTTATGACATGGAACATTTACCCACTGATGTGGAAAAAAAATAGATGGCATTATGGTAAGAAATTTACCATGATTTGAGAGTTTAGGTTGAACATCCTGAGCTTACTTTTCAAATGATTTTGTTTGGAAACAACGTATGCTTATGCTATTTGATTTATAAATCCATCTGTTAATCACTAGAAATTTAATCCAAACACTTGGAGAGGATTCATCGTGCTGTTCAGAAAAAAGTTCATGAACAAGCTAGGAGGGTTTTTGCAAGCCTGCCAGATCCTTTTGATTTTTAAGGAAGGAGGGAGTTTGAGAAATAAGCTGTCTTCTTTCTCAGAAAATTTTAGTCCCGAGGTTTCATTCAAAGATCTCTAAAGGGATTTGTGGAAATTGAATCGGAATTTATTAGGAGTAAAGCAGTCACTGGTGGTAGGGTTTATTATGTAAATAAAAATAAAACAATACCTATTTTCATTTTAGATTGTTAGATATCAACAAGCTTAATGAGACTCTGAGTAGGCGAGGATATAGAAAAATTCTCTAAAGACTTCTCAGTGCAAACTCTCTGGAGGGTAATTCAGCAGTATTTATCCATTGTACATATTTGACCCAACAGTTCCCTTTGCTAGTGATTTTCCCTAGATAGAGACCAGAATAGACCTTTCAAACTGTAGGCAGGAAGCTAGTATCTGTGACAGCATTGTCTCTAATAACAACTAGAAAAATAAGTTAGCATACTCTTCAGCCATATCAAGAAATAGGAGTGGGGAATACAGCTCAGTTCAGTCTCCTATACCAGCAAATAAGATAAGGCAAAAAAAAAAAAAAAAGAAGAAGAAGGTTAGACATGTGTGATTGGAAGTTGTCAATTACCAAGATTTCTAGAGTTATTAAGAGGGACAATTAGGAGCGTAAAGTGACCTGCCATAATTCTATGATATATAGGAAGGAGAGCAGATAGGTATTTAGGAAGGGATGCATTAAACTGTTTTAGAAAGAATATGCATAAACTCCAGTAGATGCTGTAAAGGGGAAGAAAGATGACATTGTGGGTAATAGGCATGAACCATTTTTTGACCTTCATGCCAGTATGAAATATTTGAATATGTGCATGTGTGGTGTTAACTCTAGTTTAAGACAGTAGTGAACAGAAAGTGTATTGCCCCTTCTGACAAGTGAGGGTCAATGACTGTTTTTAAGTGTAAACTTTTCTCCCCACTCCCCCGCCCCCGCCATGCCCAACTTCATGCCTAGCATTCATGTTTGTGTTTTTTTAACCCAAAGGACAATCAAGATGGATCATCCAGTGAAGGAATCTTTGTATCCAAAATAGTTGACAGTGGGCCGGCAGCCAAGGAAGGAGGCCTGCAAATTCATGACAGGATTATTGAGGTATGTGAACTGGCCAGTGTCTTTGAATAGGCTGAATGCCATCCGTCCTTCATCTGGCTTACACCAAGATGTTTGGTCGGGGAGGGAGGCCTCAAGTGGTGGATGGTTAGGCAGGAGGCACACTTCTCTGATCGTGTGGGACTGGATTGGGTGTTGATTGCCTTGGTGTTAAGTTTTTGTTAAATATAGAGAAGTCGGATTATGAGTGGCATGTTCATGATTTGGCTTCTTTCATGCAGACTTGCATCTGTTTTGTATGCTTCAGTTATAGCCGTCGGAGGGTTGTCTGCTAGTTAGAACCAGATGAACGGACAGTCCCTGTTGTACAAATTGTGACTGTTCATGTGGGTTACCCGGGTACAACTGTGTCAACTCTGGAGTCATTCTAGTGTCCTCAGAGTTCACATCAGACAATTATGTTTACACGTGCCTTGCTTTCTCTTGTGTTTGCCCTCCTTACTGCTTGCCTGTCATCAGTTATATGACTCACTGGCCCAGGGAGCGGTAGGCCAGCATGGCTGTTAGGATTCACTCTCATTATCACTTCTTTTCTCCTTTACATTTCCAATTCTTCATTCGTCTGTTCAAGCTTGTTCCTATAGCAGGCATAGTGATTCATGCTGGGAGAGTGCCATACCCTTTGGAATAGGGTAAGGCTATGTTCTAGATTATTCTGAGGTGATGAAAGGCACAGGATTGGGATTTTTATTCCTTGTATGGGTTCTTGTTGCAAAATTTGGCATACAAAAGTACTTTTCTTTCACTGGTATTTGTTAACTTTCTGATTTAATGGATCCATGAATAAAATTTGTTTGATCTCCTAGTAGGGAAGAAGTAAATATGAGATTCCAAGTAGATGTGCTAAATCCTGTAAGAAACTCACCCATAGACTGCCATCACCCCACTATAGCTCATTAAACAGGAAAGTAGGGAAGGATACAGCCCTGATACCAGTGGGTGTTTGTTGTTCCAGACACATTTGTGTAGCACCTATAATTCCCAAGTATTTTTTTTTCTGGCTCGTTTAAAAATCCTGGGCTGACTAGAAGCTTGACCATGAGCTAAACTGTAAGTGAAGCATGCATCACCAACTGGCATGTGACTGCATGCTTCTCCTGGGGAAAAGAGTGTCCAGAAGACAGAGAAGCATGTCTCAGTTTTCTAGTCTCATTTGGACCAACTGCAGTGTGCCAGTGTAGGATGTTGCAGGGGTAACTTATATGTGTGGGAAAATGCATAGTTAAATCTCACAGGGGGAAAAGAAAGTGAACAAGTTAAGGCATAAGGTTCACTACTCTGGTGGACTGGGCCATGGTCACTTACATGTGGAAAGGATATTTGATCTGATCTTAGGGACGATATTAATATTGCTGCCTCTCCTGTGACCTTTGCCACAGCCTTTAGAGGTGGAATTCTTCTTGCCTTGTGTTTTAGGTTCAATCTGTACTTCCCCAGCCAGACTTGGCTTGGGCAAGAGCCCTTTTCTAAGAGCTTAAATGCTGTATTAGTTACTGTCTTTCTTTCTTTTTTTTTTTGAGAGTGAATATATTTTCTGAGACTATTGTTCAATAGATAAGTGCAGTCTCTTGTTGCCAAGGGTTTGGTGGAACAGGCAGTTTCTCTAAGTAATGGAATTTCATTGCTCTTATGTTTTTGCAAATGAGAAATCTACAGCTGGGCAGGATTTTCTCTTGGCAGACGATGATCTGTGTTTGAAATGTTCAGTACGGTTTCTGGTAAGTCACATTCCCCTTTTGGACAGTATGTAAAATATTAATCATGGCCCAGTGTTGAGATTGAAAGAAGGATGATCACAATAGAGAAACGATACATGTGTAATTGCAATTGACACACCGTGCCCTTCTCAGTCAAATCCTAATCTCTTTTGACATGATACAATGATTCCCATGACTGAAAATATGTTCTCTGGTTCACCTCATCTGTGTTAGAGTCTATTACGAGGGGACATGAGTTTGATTACTTTCTATTGGGGGGAAAGGAGGAGAGAGGAGAAGAAGGGAGAGAAGACAGAGGGAGAAAAGAAAGAGGGAGGGAGGGAAAGAGGAAGGAAGAAGGTGGTTGCTGAGAAGACCAATGATTCCTTTTTCAGGGGAGTGGGCAAACTACCACCAGAGATCTTCACCACTGGAACTTTAATTCCTGCAGAAGTGTGCATCTATTAAAGCCAAAGAGACAGATGGAGACCTGTACTATTGCAGAATGACTGCGGTCTGCCCGGACCCTGTGTGCTAAAGCCCTAGTAGTATCCTATATCAGAGCCAGATATGCTCTCTCCCATCCCACTCCTGTTTTTTACAACAAATATTTTGAAATGTCACTAATAACTGTCTTAAAACGAAACTCACCAAAATATATGCACATACATACCTTTAGAATTATAGAAATATAGACCATAATAGAGAGATAAGAGGAAAATAATTTACATTTAAGTATATGGGTCAGTACATAAACACATAGGCACAGTAGCCGTGGAAGACATTGTGTCTCTGTGCAGATGTAAGGTGACATGCTACCTGCAACATATCCGAAGGTGGTACTGGTGCTGATTGACACTGCTGTTGATGTTAGAAGTTTCCACGGTTGTGGACGGTCATGTCAAGTTCTGGTGCAGCAAATTACCATTATTCTTTAATATTGCAAGCGTTGAATTGCTAGAAACTGTGTTTGTGAGTGTATAGGTATGTGTGTATGTAGCAAAATATATATGTGGTAAAATACATATAAGATTTACCATTTTAACTTTAAAATGATAGTTCATTTCCCTTCATTATACTCATAGTTTGTTGGATAATGAACATCACTTTTCCACTCCAGCACTTTCCCGACAAAAACTACATCCATTCATTCACTGATGGGCACATGGGTCTCTTCCACCTGTGGCTGTTAGGAAGAAATTTTGCTTTGAATGTGGGTTTATAATTATGCATATTTAAACTGTAAAACAATTCTTCGTGTTTATATGTAAAACAGATCAGATGTTATGCATAGGTAATTACAAGAAGGTTATTTTGCCTTCCTGGATACCTAGTAGGATGTGTGGAGTTTGTTCTGGGAGCAGAGTAATTCTTCACAGTATGGAACTCCATGCATTGTGGACTCTCTTTGTCTTTGGTACACACCCTCCATCATTGTGATATAAGAAAGAACCCCAAGATACCATTATATGCTCTGAGCACTTCATTTGGCAAAGTGCTTCTTCTAATAAAAGTCCAGGTACAGGAAAACCAAAACCTACAAAGAGATCTGCAAGTTCCCTTTGAGACATGTAACATTCACTGCTTTTCTCCCCATCCACGTTGTGTTTGGCATCACTTGCCTGTGAGTCAAACACCCATGTGATGCTGATCTACTGAAATTCTTTCCTGAAGACTTAAGAAAGGCAGTCTCATCTGTATTTCATGCCAATCCTCAAGTGGCGTGACTTCATTCTTGTGCTGGATTAGGGTTTGCCTTTGGTGGCAAATGAAATTCTGTAGCAGTTGTGTGGGTTCAGTGCTGTTCTGCTTTGAAATAGCAAACTCGATCACCTGGGTTGCAGGAAACATGCAATGCAAGCTCTCTGTTCCCAGCATCCATTCTCTTTGCAGGCTTTTGTAAATACACATTCATCCTGAAAGTGTTATAGTTTGAAGACCTGGGGGTATGTCACAGAAATGGAGGAACCCCAGAGGGTTTTCTGTGATCCACATCTCTGCTTTCTTTTTTTGCTTGTGGTTTAGCTGGTCTGTCTCTCTTAAAGCTTGTGTTTTAGACTAGTAGAAAAAATTAAAGGGATGGGAAGGGGAAACAGGAGGAGGTTACAATGCTTGATAAGAAATGTACTCATTATCTTGCCCATGTAATTGTAACCCCTCTGTACAGTATTTTCACAATAAAAAATAAATAAATATTTAAAAAAAGAAAAAATTAGCAGCATTTTTCCTCCACAAGGAACTACTACAAGTTGAAGAATGGTATAAGAGTCAACGATGGAGAATTCTTTTCTTTTCCTTTCTTTTCTCTTTGTGGAAAAAAAAGAGGAATAGAGGACTTCTTGTTTTTCTTTTAACTATTTATTGTGAAATAATTTCAGATTTAGAGGTATGGATATCAACTCAGATATTAACACCTACTATATAGTTGTTTCTCTATTCTCCTTATCATTAAGGACATCTGTGTGTGTGTGTGTGTTTTAGGAGTAAGACATAATTCTATATAACAGCAAGAAAGTTATGCATACCTGGAGATTAACAATGATATAACACTGTTAGCTCATTTTGCAGAAATTACCCATTTTCCATTGAGAGCTCTAATGTCCTTTAGAGGAAAGAATAATCTTGTCATGGCTTTTGCTCCATTTTCTTTTTTTCTTTACTTTTTTGTCAGTCGTGGATCTTGAATGCTGGGCCTGGGCAATGTTGCTGAGTTCTTCAGCTCAAGGCACTTCAGCTCAAGCGCCACTTCCGGTTTGCTGGTGATTTATTGGAGATAAGAGTTTCATGGACTTTCCTGCCTGGGCTGGCTTTGAACTGCGATCCTCAGGTCTCTGCCTCTTGAGTAGCTAGGGTTATAGGTGTGAGCCACTGGTGCCCAACTACTTTCCCATTTTTTTAAATTACTCTAGCCTTAAAACAATCACTCAGTTTTTGTTTCCTGTGCGTCTCGCATTTCAGAGTGCATCCTTTAGTTGATGTCCCCATAGATGGGAAGGAATGGAGGATTACTGTGTATTGTCTTTCTCAGCTCATATTGTCAAGGCTGACACTTCTAACTGGTCTTTTTTCTTTTTTTAAGTTGCAATATGAGATCCTAGGCGGTATGTTTTAATTTGTATTTTTATTAGCTCTAGTTAATTTAATGAAGGAGTTTCAGTTCAGTCTATCTATTGAGAGTCATGATGTGCATCAGTGTGTCATGATCAGTGTCATCTTTTTATTGGCAATTTCATTTGAACTACTGTGTTCAAGCCATATTGCTATTTCTTCACTATAAAGTCAGAA